CAGAGAGAGAAGCAGGCTCCATGCAGGAACCTGACGTGGGCCTTGATCCCGGGTTTCCAGGATCACATCCTGGGCTGAAGGCGGCGCTAACCCACTGAGCCACGAGGGCTGCCATGAAATAAGATTAAATGAAGTTCTAAGAGTAGGGCCTTGATCTGATAGAATTAGTGTCATTAGTGTCATTTTTTTTTAAAGATTTTATTTATTTTATTCATGGGAGACACAGAGAGGCAGAGACATAGGCAGAGGGAGAAGGAGGCTCCCTGAGGGGAGCCCAATGCAGGACTCATTCCTCGTACCCCAGGATCAAGACCTGAGCCAAAGCAGATGCTCAACCACTGAGCCACCCAGGTACCTGGACTAGTGTCCTTATAAGAAGAGATACCAGAGAGTTTACTCTTTATACAGCACAAAAGCAGCTATCTGTAAGCTAGGAAGAATCCTTACTAGAAACTGATCCTGCCAGAATTTATCTAGGACTTCTAGCCTCAAAAACCATTAAAAAAAAAATCTGCTTTTAAGCTACCAAGTCTATGGTATTTTGTTATGGCAGCTGATGAATACATCTGGTGATAAGACATATTGGCATTATGTACCTCCTGATAGGGCATACTGTGAAGGCCACAACATCACTTCTCTTGGTATTATTAAAAGAAAAATGCATAAACTCAATCAAGTCTTGAGAAAATATCACATATAACCAAAATGAGGAACATTCTACAAAAGAGATGGCCAGTACTCTTCAAAGGTGTCAAGGTCTTGAAAAAGAAATAATCACAGATGGGCATCAAGGAGGGCATACGATGAGATGAGCACTGGGTATTATATGTTGGCAAATTGAATTTATATAAAATTTTTAAAAAATCACAGATTGAGGAAGACTAAGAGGACATGGCAGCTAAATCCCATGTGTATCCTGGATTGGACCCCCTGAAACAGAACGAGGATGTTAAGTGAACTAATGTTAATATTCTGGTTTGATAATTCTGGTATATTTATATGGGTTGTTATATTAGGGGAGCTAAGCATATGGGAACTCTTTACTTTTGCCACTTTTTGTAAGTCTAAAATGATTAAAAAAAAAAAAAAAAGATAGGGTAGCCTGGGTGGCTCAGTGTTTTAGCACCACTTTCAGCCCAGGGTGTGATCCTGGAGACCCAGGATTGAGTCCCACGTCAGGCTCCCTGCATGGAGCCTGCTTCTCTCTCTGCCTGTGTCTCTGGCTCTCTCTCTCTGTGTCTCTCATGAATAAATAAATATTTTTTTTTAAAAAGAAAGAATGGAGATAAGGTAACGAAAGTAGTTTAAATTTTTTAAAATTTTTATTTATTTATGAAAGTCACAGAGAGAGAGAGAGAGAGAGAGAGAGAGAGAGAGAGAGAGAGGGGCACAGAGACATAGGCAGAGGGAGAAGCAGGCTCCATGCACCGGGAGCCCGATGTGGGACTCGATCCTGGGTCTCCAGGATCGTGCCCTGGGCCAAAGGCAGGCGCCAAACCGCTGCGCCACCCAGGGATCCCCAACGAAAGTAGTTTAAATATGGTGTCATTTAGGCACTAAAACACTTGCTGACCTGATGTAATGACTTACAAGTGGAAATGGAATTTAGGTTGAACCCTTTTGTACCTTCATTAAGAACTTCTCAAAGGAGTAAAGTGTCCCCTTGCCATTCTACCAGCAATTCTTAGTTCCCTGGACACCTAGCTTTTCTTTTTCCTGTCCTACCACAACTATTCTTTATGACTACAATTAGTTGTGTTGATCTGATAGATCCATTGATTTTTCTTCTGTCCTCATTCCTTTTGGTTTCTCCAGGGCCTTCATGCTCATGTTCGACCCACCCTTTGATAAATTATACCTTTATTTTATTACATTGCTTTAACCCAAGTTCTGTTTCAACTGTTTTTCTTTCTTCTACCAAATGAACTATCCCTTCCTTCCACCCAACTTGCCTGTTTCACCTAATAATACTATTCTCTCAATTGCTGGATTTTGGGATATTTTTGACACTTCATAAATTCATAAACTCTGATTGGAAGGACTCTCCTAGACCTTTTAGATCATATTTCCCCTGTGTTCTATCCAGTTGATTTTTGCATCTTTTTGATGGTATTGTCATCAAGTGGTTTTCTGGCCTATGCTTGAACATTTTCAATGACAGGAAGTTTAATATCTTATCCCCTAACATTCTTCTCCTATAATGCTAAATCTTGTTCATTCTCCTTAAGACTGTTGTTCATTTATAAATCCTACTTCTTCATTTTCACCATGGTCTATTAAGGTCCCTAGTTTAGGCCTTTACCATGTTATAACTAAACTAGTATGATATGATTGCCTGACTGAGTCTCTCTAGTCCGTTTCACAGATCCAAGCCAGACTCAATCCTTTTAAAAATGTTATTTTATGGGGCATCTGGGTGGTTTAGAGGGTTAAATATCTGCCTTTGGCTCAGGTCATGATCCCAGGGTCCTGGGATTACATCCTGTATTGGGCTCCCTGTTCAGTGGGGAGCTGCTTCTCCCTCTTTCTCTGCAGCTCCCCCCGCAGAGAGACAGCTGCTCTCTCTGTCAAATGAATAAATAAAATCTTTTAAAAAATGTTATTGTACTTTACAAATTTTTAAATATTGCCTTTGTCTTATCACTTTTTTACTCACAAAGTTTAAGTGGTTCCTATATTTTATTATTTTTTAATCTAAAACCAGTTGCTTTCAAGATTCTATACATCTTATTTATCATTCTTGTTGAAACACACCTTCTTTCTGGTGTATACATAAGCAAGTGTGAGGTGCTACTATTTTGTTGCTAATTTACTGCCCACCGACAGCTTAGTGTGTCCATATCTGTTTTTTTACATTTTTATTTCTTTAAGATTTTATTTATTTACTCATAAGACACACACACACACACACACACTCACACACTCACAGAGGCAGAGACAGGTAGAGGGAGAAGCAGGCTTCCTGTGGGGAGCCTGGTGTGGGGCAGGAGGGACCCACTTGATCCCAGGAACCCAGGATCATGACCTGAGCTGAAGGCAGACTCTCAACTGCTGAGCCACCCAGGCATTCCTGTATCTCTGTTTTTATCTTTATTATCAGGTCAGAAGTAGAAAGACAACCTTTAAATAGTGATTTTGAGATTATTTGAATTAAAAAGTGAGTTTAGGAACTATTCTATCAGAAATAGTTCCTAATAACTATTTTCCTATTTCCCTTTTGACTTCTGCAAAAATTGGAGGAACAGCTTGGGGTTATAAAACAATACAAATGTAACCAATTCCTGTCTGAGGGGCCTTTCTTGGTGAAGTCTACTGTGAAATCACTGTTCTTAGATCAGATCAAGGAAATGAGAGCCAAGTTATATACTAATTTAGGTAAAGCATCTTACAAAAATAAACTGTATGTTTTAACTTAAAAAGCACTGATTCTACCAAATGGATATCTATATAAAGAAAATTGAGAGATCTAGACGAAAAGGCTTTGCGTTCTCTTCTTTTATGTGGCTATTGTGTTGTTGTTTTGAGGGGAGATAAATCTAAGCACATGTGCATTGCAGAAGTTGATGAAATATTTATCATATGATTATGGATTATAATTAACTAACTTCATATTTTATTATAGGTTTTCCAAAACAGAATAAGAATGAAAAACCTAGAGTTACATTAATCTTTTGGTTTCAGGGTATCCAGAGTCATGAGAATTTGAAAAATATCCATGTGGAGGTAACAAGAAAAGAAAATGGTGAGAGGAGAAAATATGAAGGCAGGAAATTCAGTTAACAGATATGAAAAAAGAGCGGTGGTATTGATGAATAAATAAAAGAGGAGGGATAGTAAATGAAGTGTTCTCAATTTAAAATAACCAATACAATTATATTTCAGTGATTTGGTTCTATAATATTCCAAAATAAAAAGACACAAAGAATGAACGACTATCCCAAAATGCTTATCAAGTTCAGTCCTGCACAGTTATAAAAAAACCACGCTCCTCTTAACAAACTTGGCACAAGACTTTGGCTCAAGACCAGCATGACTTAATAGCTGTAATTTGCATTTGAATGCAATTAACTGGGCCAGTACTTTGGGGTAATCAAGCTGTGTGCAATACGCACAAGCTGCAAACTCAACAAAAGTCCAAAGCACTGGAGAGAAATCTTTAATCTGTGAATTCTCCTTAGATTTAGAATCCAGGTTCAAGTCCTTAAATTCAATTTTAGATTTCAAAACTATGATTTTAAGTGTGAACACTGGAATTTAACTTTTATCTTATTATTCATTCTTAACAAAGAGAAGTTTAGATACTTTCCACTATTTTTCCTTAGAAGAATAATTTCGCTTTATTTGTAAGTTATAGATGTTATGTTAAAAATTTCAAGCAATAGGACGCCTGGGTGGCTCAGCAGTTAAGCATTTGCCTTCAGTTCAGGGCGTTATCCGGGAGTCCCCGGATCGAGTCTCAGGGCTGGAGCCTTCTTCTCCCTCTGCATATGTCTCTGTCTCTCTCTCTCCCTCTGTCTCTCATGAATAAATAAATAATCTTTAAAAAAAAAAAAAGAATTTCAAGTAATATAAAAAGATACAAAAGGAAATGAAAAAAATCCTCAAACCCTTACTTTCTACCCAGAAATGAATCACACCAATATTAAAAAAAATAAGTGAGAAAAATGTGAAGAAAATGTGTAGTTAAAAAATAATTTTTTAAAAAGATTTTATTTATTTATTTCAGAAAGAGAGAGAGAAAGCACAAGCAGGGGGAGCAGCAGAGGGAGAAGGAGAAGCAGACTCCCCGCTGAGTAGAGAGTCAGACATGAGGCTTGATCCCAGGACCCTGAGATTATGATCTAAACTGAAGTCAGATGCCGAACCAACTGAGCCACCCAGGCACTCCCCAAATTTGATTTTTCTAGTCATGTTATGAGTTACTAAAAATTAAATTTACAAGGTGTTAACAAACTGGTTATATTATAAGGTAAACTACCACTATAAGTATTTAAGCTCACCTTATGTTACTTTGCAGTATATAGTCTTCATATGCAAATACTTTTAACGTAGGCTGAGATTTTTCTAATCCTGAAGAATAAAACGTATAGTGAAATTAACAGCGAAGAACAAGGAACCCAGAACAAGGAGTGGAGATACCTAGATTTTAATTGAGATCTACCAACTGGGCAGTATCTGTGTGTATTGGGACAGGGTGTGTGCTTGGGCATAGGTAAGTGGGAGCTAGTGGTGACCAATTCTCCTCTTAGGAACTGTTCTGTAAAATGAAAGGGGTAGACTAGAATTGTAAAATATCCAAAATTATAGGAGCCTAGCTTACATTTGCTGGTTTACAGAATCTCAGGTGTTCTGTTTTCCTTCTTGATAGTTTGAATGCCACCTTTAATAGACACTATGGTCTGGAAATAGTCTCTCTGAGAACTATAACTGGTAGGCAGCAGACCATCTGCAATGAAAATTTATTCTATGCTAAATTAAAGCATAGCATGTCCTTCTTCTGGGAATCACTTATTTATCCAACTAATAAGTGCTGTCTGCACTCTTAAATTTTCCACAAATTCTGCCCTTTAGTAATTTACAGTTTAGATAAGGAGTTAAAAAGTGATCATTACAATACTATCAAAGACATTAATAAAATGTGATGAAGATCTGAAAGAAGAAAAAAATCATAAATCTGGTCCAGAGGCAGAGTAAAATCAAGAATAGGTTGAAGAGAGGGTGATTTTTGAGTGAGGCCTGAAATAAAGGTCAGATTTTGACAGATGGATGTTATTGGCAAGGCTTCTGTTTCCTCAACGTTACATAGAAGTAATAATTGTACTCTCCTGGAGATGGGAGAATTATGTGAAATAATGCTTGTTTGTCACTTCACGCATTACACTGTCATGATAGAAGAGTTCTATAAATGCTTTCCATTGTTATTAATGAGGAAAATGTATACAACCAAAAGAAGCACTGACAGAAAATGATATTTCTGATTGCAGTACTAAGGATTAGTTTCTTTTCTTTTTTTTTTTTTTAGATTTTATTTATTTATTCATGATAGGCACAGAGAGAGGCAGAGAAACAGGCAGAGGGAGAAGCAGGCTCCCCGTGGGGAGCCCGATGCAACACTCCATCCCAGGATCCCAGGACCATAACCTCAGCCAAAGACAGATGCTCAACCACTGAGCCACCCAGGCGTCCCAAGGGTTAGTTTTTTAGAGACTTTTTTTCAAAAAAATTTCTGAGGAGATGGCTGTCTAGGCATGCTCTTCCAAAGCCGGTTGTTTGCACATAAAGTTGTAATCAGAACTTTTTCTTTTAATCTTTTCTGCTAGCAGCAAAAAGGAAGAGGCAAATAACTTTTAATGACTGATTAGAATGTGGAAACCAGAAAAACCTTGAGTAGATGGCCTCAGGGGCAAAAACTGGTGAGATTGTTGCCCTAATGCATGTTGTAGCTTCTTTTTGGCTGTTTAGGGTGTGCTAGACTTGATCTTTCTTCCAAGTGTACCTTAGACAGGTGCAGCGGTAGCATCTGTATCTGCTTCTTAAAACACTTAAAAAAAAAGATGTATTTATTTATTCATGAAAGACACAGACTGAGAGAGGCAGAGACGTAGGCAGAGGGAGAAGCAGGCTCCATGCAGCGAGTCCTATGTGGGACTCCATCCCTGGATTTCAGGATCACCCCCTGGGCCGAAGGCAGGCTTTCAACTGCTGAGCCACCCAGGCGTCCCTTAAAACACTTTGTATTCTGAAAATATTTACAATAAAAGTAGCTAGTTTTATGGGGTCTTTATTATGAGTAAGTGCTGCAATTAACAAATGATAAGCAGGGGATCCCTGGGTGGCGCAGCGGTTTGGCGCCTGCCTTTGGCCCAGGGCACGATCCTGGAGACCCGGGATCGGGTCCCACGTCGGGCTCCCGGTGCATGGAGCCTGCTTCTCCCTCTGCCTCTCTCTCTCTCTGACTATCATAAATAAATAAATAAAAATTAAAAAAAAAACAAAAACAAATGATAAGCAAAGCTCTTTCAGTCTCTAAAACAAATCTATAAATTGAAAAAATACATTACTTACATAAGAAGCTGAGACTTAGAAAGTTCCCATATCTTGCCCAAAATCACTTAGTCATTCAGCTTATCTTTAATGATCTATATTATATGTCAGACACTGTTGTAGGAGCTACACATACATTAGTGAATAAAACAGAAAAGATTTCTGCTATCTTGAAGCTCATATTCAAATGGAGGGAGGCAGGCAATAATCAAAAAAATATTAACAAGAAAACATCACCTAGTGAAAAGGGCTATGAATAAATAAAATAGTGCGGTGATAGTGAATAACGGGGTTCATAGTACTGGCTTCACGGTGAATGGTAATGCAGTCACACAGGGCCCCACTCTTAGTTTAATGCTCTACTATCACTGTCTTGAAATGCTTAATAATTTTATCTTTGGATTTGTGTTTTGTGAGGGAGGTCTGATACAATACTAGTCTACATGGGTAAGTAGAGGACATAGGGCAATATCCATGTCCTCCATTCCTTGTCACACCATTCTCATATAGCTTTTGGGATGCCCTGTGAACATAGACTTCTGGTGGACCCACAATGTGTGGGAGTTCAGTGAGAGTCAAATCCAGTGGGAGTATGAGGTAAATGTGTTGTGTGTGACTAAGCAGAGATGCTGACACCTGCAGAGGCTATTCTTCTCTCAAATCAAAACTTGCATCAAATAAAAAAAAGAAAGCAATGGCATTCTAAGAAATATACTGACCAAAGAACCCTATCTTACCTTTTCTTAGTCATCACTTCCCTGTAGCTAACTACTAATGATGATGTAAAAGGAAAGTAAAAGAGAGGGAAAGGTAGTTCCTCTTCCTTTCAGTTCTTCCTTACTCATCTGTAAGCCAAAGGTAGAAAGTGTTAGTAGAATACAGGTATATCAAAAAGTGAAATTAAAAAAAAAATTGAGTTAGTTTTATGCAATGTTTTCATAGTTAAGAATGAAATTCATATGTGCATATGTACTATACCATAGGAATTGTATAGTTTTGATAATTTCACATGAGTTAATTGCTCTCCTATTCATACTTAAAACTGGCATTACCCAATTTAAAGATGGATGGTTGGGATGCCTGGGTGGCTCAACAGTTGAGCATCTGCCTTCCGCTCAGGGCCTGATCCTGGAGTCCCAGGATCAAGTCCCACATTGGGCTCCCTGCATGGAGCCTACTTCTCCCTCTGCCTAGGTCTCTGCCTCTCTCCCTCTCTCTGTGTCTCTCACGAATAAATAAATAAAATCTTTAAATAGCAAAAAAACCCACCATGACAAGTTGAGTAAGAGAGTTTAGGATCTGAAAAGGCTTATATTTTAGCAACTTTAACAGGATTTTTACTTTATGTATTCATTTATTTTAGAGATTTTATTAAAGATAAAATAAATTCTTCTAGACTGTAGGACACTTCACACTGTGGCTTCTCCTGATTCTAACTTTATCTCTGAACTCACAACCCTGAGATCAAGAGTCTCATGCTCTACTGACTGAGCCTGCTAGGCACTCCTAACCTTATCTTTTGCCACTCCAAGTCTTAACCACTACTTTGTGGTGATACTGGCCTTTATTCTATTTCTTCAACACATTAAAAGTTCTTTCCTGCCTTAGGGACTTTGCACTAGCTATTTCCTCTCCCTGGAAGGTTCTTTCCCCAGGTTTTCCCATGGTGGGCTCCTTTTGGGCTTTTAGGTATCAAATTAAATTCCTCTCCTCTCCTCAGAGATACCATTCCCAATCATTCAGTCTGAGGTAGCACACACCCCACCCCCTAAGGGCCAGCTACATGATTTGCATGTTCTATGCAAAATAAAAATGCAGGGTATCTTCTTAGAAAAGCAATATTAAAAAAAAAGAAAGAAAGAAAGAAAGAAGAAAAGCCATTTAAAAATCCTGTAAGGGGCACCTGGGTGGCTCTGTAGTTGAGCTTCTCTGCCTTTGGCTCAGATTGTGATCCCAGGGTCCTGGGATTGAGTCCCTCATTAGTCCCCCTGTGGGGAGCCTGCTTCTCCCTCTGCTTATGTCTCTGCCTCTCTCTGTGTGTCTCTCATGAATAAATAAAATAAATAAAGGAGCCCACCATGGGAAAACCTGGGGAAAGAACAGTCAATAGAGCACGAGACTCTTGATCTCAGGGTTGTGAGTTCAGAGATAAGGTTAGAATCAGGAGAAGCCAGAGTGTGAAGTGTCCTAAAGTCTAGGAGAATTTATTTCTATTAGGAAGGTTTCAGTCAGGGGAATGATGTAAATGACTTAGATTTTCAAAGATCACTCTTTCTGAAGTGTGGAGGCAAGAGTGGATTCAAGGAGACCATCCTGAGTGGTCTATTCCTGAAGAATTCTTCACCCTTCCAGATAGAATTCATCATACTCTTGTTACAATTTCTATTATTGCACTTACGGATTTCCAAATTTGTCATCTTGAACTATACTGTAAGCTCCTTGTAGACACTGACAATCTTAATTCTCTTTATTTATTTTTAAGATTTTATTTATTTATTCATGAGAGACACATAGGGAGAGAGAGAGAGGCAGAGACACAGGCAGAGGGAGAAGCAGGCTCCACGCAAGAAGCCTGATGTGGGACCGGATCCCGGGACTCCAGGATCATGCCCTGGACTGAAGGCAGGCGCCAAACTGCTGAGCCACCCAGGGATCCCCCTTAATTCTCTTTATATCACTAGTGCCCATTATTGCTGGCACACAGAAGTCATTTATTAAATATTTGTTGAATGAACAATTGGAGTGGGATTTGAACTACTCTTGCAGTAAAAAACTCTTCCCTTGGAGTTTTCTTCAACTTAAGATAATTAATTGGGTGAGCTATAAGGAAACAGGTTATAGTAGCTATAAAAGGATCTGAACTAAATAGAAAATAGAGAATTAATTTACAAATTTTGAAACTTGGTAGAAAATTACTTACTCGGTCATCAAAGGAAATTTGAATTTTTATACTACTTTTCCTGAAACCATGTACAAAGCCACAGCTATTATTGGTGCTAATGTTTTGGCCAGAACTTCCAGCCTGATGGCTTGGAACTGAAGCTGGGTTGATAATACATTTTGATTGATTTGTATGCTACATAAATGTGGTGCTGAGTTAGTTGATGGTGCTAGGAACTAAGGAGTTTTCACGTAAAGGTCTGATTTTTCTCTTTCTCTTAAGAAATAACAAATATACAAACCAAAAGCTTGGCACCGTTAGGTCTGCATTCCAGCCAGCCTCAAAGCTGAGGATGGCCATTGCCTTTGTTAGGGGGTTTCTTGTTCTCTATTTTATCTTTTCTCAGTTGGCTGGCTCAGACTCACTAATGTTACCTCTCTGGGTGTTGCCTGGTAGCATTTGTGTTTTTGACATCTCACTCTGAGACATATGTAGTACTGGTGCTATTTTACATAAGATTTTTAATTTTTAATTAATTAATTAATTATTATTTATTTTTATTTTTTAAAATTTTTTTATTATTTTTTTATGATAGTCACACAGAGAGAGCAAGAGGCAGAGACACAGGCAGAGGGAGAAGCAGGCTCCATGCACCGGGAGCCCGACGTGGGATTCGATCCCGGATCTCCAGGATCGCGCCCTGGGCCAAAGGCAGGTGCTAAACCGCTGTGCCACCCAGGGATCCCAGATTTTTAATTTTTTAAAAACAATTTTAAAAGATTTAATTTATTTATTTATTCATGAGAGACACACAGAGAGAGGCAGAGACATAGACAGAGGGAGAAGTGGGCTCCCTGCGGGGAACCTGATGAGGGGCCCCAGCATCATGCTGAAGGCAGATGCTCAACCACTGAGCCCCCCACGTGTCCCACATAAGATTTTTTATTTTCATTTATTTTTTTTTAAAGATTTTTTTTAAAGAAGATCTTACATTATATATATTTCTCTAGTTTTCTTGGTAGATTTGCTTGGCTTTACTTGCCTTCCTTGCAGCTTTTATCAATTCAGAAGGCAGAAGGCCAATCTAGAGCCACCCAGATAGGGCTGCCCGGGCTGGAGGAAGCGGTGCCCTGCTTTGTTAATAGATAAATACTGAGGGGAGGATAGGCTCTCTAGAGGGCAGCCAGAGGAGAGCTTCGCCTCCAATCGGGTCGACAGAAGAAAACTCACCGTCTCTGCTCTCTACCTCCTGTCCACATGTCTGTTAAGACTCAGGGGTATGGGGTTTAGGGACAAAATAACTTTAAAACTAATATATATCACACAGGCCTTTCATTTAGGATCACTGGACATTTTTTGTTTGTCCCAGAGTGTGCGGCCTCCTTCCCCCCACGCTGCCGGATCCCTGCTGACTGGAATGCTTAGGTGTGCAAATTTAGGATGTCCTAAATTAGGGGCTGTGTCTTTATTTGGACGGTGCCACTTCATCTATTCTACTGTTTTGTACGAACCCACATGTTTATTCAGAGAGATGTACGGGCCAGGCCACAATAGATACTCTGTGGCGAAGCCAATAAAGGCTGTTGCCACAGAGCTAGCTAAAGGCATGTGGAAGCACAATAGTCACAGGCAGCAGCCACAATGGTTCAATGTGGATAGAATCCCGGGATTGGGAGGCGCTTTTTGAAGGCCAGGAAGGGGGAAAAAAAAAAAATCAGTTTGTGAGGATTTACTACAGACAGAGCAGGTCTTGGTGGATGTTCAGTTCTGGGAACACTTGGCAGTACCAGGGTGCGGTTCCTTTGGCCGTTTAACAGAAACGCATTCAGGAGTCCCGGAGTAAATCGTTCCCATGTTCTCCGCGGGCTGGTAAACAGGCGACGGACTGCGGGACAGACGGCCCAGCTGCCCTGACAGCGGCCGAACCAGGGAGCCGCTTTAGCACGGCGGACGGGCGGACGGACGGACGGACTGACTGACTGAGGCCCGGGCGGGCGGGGGGCTGAGGGGGGACGACGGGGGAGGGGGCGGGCTGGGGCAAGGGGGTCAAAGTCCAAGCTGGAGAGAGGACAATAAGCCCAAGGGTGGGAACAAAGCCGGACGGAGAGTGGCAGCCTGACTGACTGACCCAGGCTCGGGTTTGAGAGCAGGGCGGCGGGCGAGCACCCGGAGAACCTGGAAGGGCGCACGGGCCCCCCCGCCCCCGCCCCCCTGCCCCCGCCGCGCCTCCCTGCCCAGCAGCGCCAGGCAGTGCCCGCCGAGCGCAGGGCGGGGCGCGGCCCGGGGGAGGGCGAGCTGGGCCGGGCCGTGGGCCGCCGCTGACGCAGTGCGGGCCGGCAGCCCCGAGCGCCCGGGCGGCCGCCGAGCGAGGGCCCCGCCGCCCAGGCCGCGTCCCCGCCGGAGGGGGCAGGGCGCACTTACCGGCCGTCAGGACGCCGCGGGCGGCCTGCGGGCTCCGCGCCGCCGCCGCCGCCGCGCCGCCGCCGCCGCCGCCGCCGCCGCCGCCGCCGCCGCCGCCGCGCTCGCCAGTCAAGCGCGCGTCGTCCCCGCCCCCAGGACCTGGCGGGGGGGGGTGAGCGGGGGAGAAGGGGCGGGCGTCCGCCGGCCGTGAATCACCTCCTCCTCCTCCTGCCTCAGCGCCGCCGCCACCTTTCCATTCAGTCGCCCAACATGGCTGGAGCGCGGCGGAGGTGAGCCTGCCGCCCCCTGTCGCTGGTCGGCTGCGCCCGAGCGCCGCGCCTCCGGCCGAGCCTCCTCTCCGCGGTGCAGCGGACGCCGGCCGCCGGCATGTGGGGCGCCCCGGACGAGAGCTCGGTGCGGGTGGCTGTCAGGTGAGGACGGACGCGGCGGCGGGGCGGGCGGCGGCGGCGGCGGCGGCGGCGGGCGGGCTGAGGGCGCGGAGAGGACGCCCCGGGTCGCCGGCGGCCGCTGCGGGGCTTGCGGAGCCCTGAGGGGGCGGGCGGCTGGCAGCTGGCAGCTGGCTACGCTGAGGCTGCGGATCGGCCGCCGGCCGGCGCTCCCGGGGCCACCCTGCCGCCCTCGGGCGCGCGGCGTCTGCAGGTAGCGGGCGGCTGCGCGACGCCGGGTCCCCGCGGC